CTCCACAGGGGGAGGCTGGCCCTCCATGGCCGCCGACCGCCCGCCCGGAGGAAGCTGCCGAACCGCCCACAGCGCGCGCGGGCCCCTGGGAGCTGCGGGAGGGGCCACGCGGTCACGTGGCTGGAACAGCCTATAGGAAGGGCCCTGGGAAGGGCGGGAGCTGCTATTCTGAGAGGCGGTTTTCGGTCTCTTCCAGACGCTGCGTCTTTTGTGCCGCTCCCGGATGCGTTTCCTCTGGCCTTCCCTGAACGGCATTTTCTCTCCTCCTCAACGTTTTTCTGAGAAAGTGGTTTATTTATACCTACAGAAAAGTTTAAACACTAGTACAACGAACGTTTGTATAGCCGTCTTCCAGCCCAGTAATTGTTAACATTTTACCACATTTGCTTTCTCTCTGTCTCTAATCTCCACAACACAACCAGACACGTTTATTTTTGCTGATTTCTTTGAAAGTAACTTGCAAATTCTTCACCCCCAAATATGTGAGCATGTATAGCCTAAGATAAGAACATTTTCCTACATAATCACAATATATGATCAAACCTAAGAAAATTAATAGTTCCATAAAATCATCGATTATATACTTCATATTCAAACTTCCCCAGTTGTCCCCAAAATTCCTTTTGCAGCAGTTTTATTTTTTCAACCCATGAGCTATAATTGGTTATTGTCTCTTTTAATCTAGAACAGTCTCCCCCCACCTCCCTTTTAAATTGTCATTGAATTTTGCCGTGAGCATAGGTCAGTTGTCTTGTAGAATGTCCCTCATTTTGAATTTGTCAGATTTTTCCCCCTCATGATTAGATTCGTTTCAAGCATTTGTTCAAGAATACTACATAGGAGTTTCTGTGTTCCCCTCACGACATCCCATAGGGACACAGATCTTAGATTCTGCTAGTAATGCTAAATTTGATCATTTGGTAAAGGTGGTGACTACATCTCTCCATTGTAATAGGACATAATTGGTAAATAACCTGTGGGATTATAGGAGGCTATAAGAATATCCTGTTTCTCAACTACCTCATATGATCCTTCACTGAATCTGTTACTACATTAAGAGTTGTAAATGATAATTCTCTAATAATGTCATGCCTTCTACATTTATTATTAGCTAGCATTCTTTCCACAACTCCATTTTGTTGCTTGTCTCACTGGAATTAGGGGCTTTTTTAATTATTGATTTAAGGCTTTAAAATTCAGTTGTACATACTCCAATAACATCATAATTTTTGCTGATGCTAAAATTGTCCCGATTTGGCCAGTGGGAGCCACTTTAAGCCACTGCCTGTGTCTCTCTGAAAAATCCCCATTAGTCCTTGAGTGCTTTCTTGCTTTCATAACCCAAGCTTACTTTGTGTATTTCCTACCCAAGACCTGGAATCAGCCCTTTGAGTTTTCCCAAATGGTTTTAACTTTTAGAATTTAATACCTTTTATTATTTTTTTTTCAAGCCTGATTGTCATATAGTTGCTTTCCTTTGCACTTTGTTTACCCCTGATGAAGGAACTGTGGAGGAAATTTTTGTAAACAATTATTTCCAAAGGCAAATAGCATGGTTCTCACCAAAAAAAAAAAAGGAGCACTGTAAAGTACAGAAGTGGGCCTGCAAGTAGACATGGGATAAGAGATGAGTTCTAGAAATAATTTACTCATACTCTGCCCACAGTCTCCTTACTTTTTATTTGCATTTCCATAGTTACCAAAGGGGACTGTAAAATGTGAGACCATTTTTGGATGTGATATGACTCTCATTGAAAAGTGGTACTTTTCGGGGCCGGCCCGGTGGCGCACTGGATGGTGCGCCGCTTGGGAAGCGCGGCGGCGCTCCCGCCCGAGGGTTCGGATCCCACATACAGACCGGTTCCCGCTCACTGGCTGAGCGAGGCGCGGGAGCAACGCTGAGG